CTTAGGAGTGTTAGAATGCTCATAACCCAACAATCGGGCCTTTTTCATCTCTTCATCCGCCACATACTGAGAAACGAGAAGGGCCCTCTCCCTAAAACTGTCTCTGTCGTCTGCTTAAGATCCTGAAACTCTCTAGCTAGCTGTTGCACCTCAATCACAGGTGCAAACTCGGCCCTGAACCTGGCCGAAAAATCACTCCAGGTCATCGCGTCTAAAACTGCATCATCTCCAATGGCTCTCCCAACCTCCTCCCACCAGTCACGTGCCCTGTCCTTCAGAAGACAGGACGCAAGTCGAACCTTTGTCCCTCGGGATCTGCTGGTGCGGAATGTGTTGGCGACATCTGCCAACCATCTGGTACTCGCAATGGGGTCCCGAGCCCCATGGTAATTGGGAGCTCCACAAGCCCTGAACTCCCTGAAAGTCAGTGTACGCGCCCCTAGCATGGCCGCCATCTCGGTGTAGAATGCACCCAACCTCTCATCAAGTATCTCCAAGATGCCCTCCTTGACCGATCCAAAGATCACAAAAGTCTGGTCTAGAAATCCTCTTCTTTCAGTAGTACGGGCCCATACTACCTTCCACATCTATCCGTACTTTCCTCAAGAACTGCCTTGACTCTACCAAGTCACTTCTACTACTACTACTACTGATCTCATGCTAATCTCATCCTAGGCTTGCCCTAGGGTAATCACCAACCCACTCTCCGCCATTAGCTGCATAAGAAGTCCCTGCTATCTCCCCCTAACCAGCTCGCGAATACCATTACATATTACTAAGACTAGATAATTCTTCGAATGAGAGGTCCTGCCCTACAACGATACAAGAGCTGCGAAATAGATCTAAACCTAACCTTCTGAAATTATTTAGTCCTCGCATGCAATATGTAACTTAGCATATTGGTTTACTAGTTAGTAGAAGATAACTAGAACTCCTAAAAGCACAAAGCAAGCAGCATTCGAGCATTGAGTACACATAATCAAGCATATCCTAATCAGGCATCACTGACTAATATGTACTAGCATGCAGTTCATAAAGCTGATAAACATATAACAGGCACATAAGGCATCCTTCCTAGATCCTTAGACCTAATCTAGCATGCAGTTCTCATAACATATCATAACATAAACTTGTATGGGTAATTTGGGAGTACTTACTTGAGCTCGGCTGATTGCATGCACCACACCCTTTTCTCTTTTCAAAGTTCTTTTGTCTTTTACAAATGATTTTCAAAATTCTTTTTATAAAAATGATTTTCTTTTGAAAATTTTTCATACCAAGTCCTTAGTTTGAGTCCAGACACACCCAAGAGTGTGCCCGAATCCCTCAAACCAAGGCTCTGATACTAACTTGAAACATCTTAAAAATATAGTCTAAAAATTTCGTTTAATTTCATTAATAAGAATCATAAATATCATCTATCATATAAAAGTCATAAACCATGTTTCTAAAAAATAACATAGTATCTGTCAATGTATCAAAATCATGTGTCAAACATCAGAGTAAATCCTCCCAGACTGAAAACTGTGGTGTGTGCCATGCAGTCATCCCGAGCTCTTCCCCTTACTAGCGGAAGTACCTAAAACCAAAACTAAAAAAACTGTAAGCACGAAGCTTAGTGAGTCTCCCCAACTACCACATACCATACACATATCACATAAACATATCTTGGTCCCCGCCCCTGCTACATCGGGTCATAGCCCGACATCAGCTTTCCCGGCATCGGGCCCCGCCCGTCATCGAACCCTATTCGGCATCGGGCCCTGCGCGGCATCGAGACCCGCCCGACATCGAGCACATCTCGGAATACATATGAGAAAAATCAAATAATACACATAAACCTAAACAATAAACATATATGTAAACATTCCTCAGGCCCCGCCCGACATCGGACTGTAATCCGGAAGCATACTAACATTCCTCGGGAACCACCCCGACATCGGATCATGATCCGGAAACATACAAGTACAAACACATGCAAGAATCACAAAGACATCAAGCATACAAGCATTCCTCGGGACCGCCCTGACATTGGATTGAAATCCGGAAAAACATATAACTTACTTCGGGCTCCGCCCGACATCGGACCGTAGTCTGAAACTACTAGTAACTAAACGGGCCGACCTTGGTGCCTTAGACCCGTTCCTACTGGAAGAGGGCTTACCTCTCAAAGTGGCTGCTGAAATCTCGTGTGAGGAATCTCTCGTGGCTGCTCCAACGAATCCCCGACTATCATTATCACAACAATCACTTAGTCAAAAACTGATAACCCTTCTAAGGGTAAAATGACCATCTCCTATGTCAAGACCCCCTTCACGAGTCAACCTTGGTCAAATCAAAGGTCCAGTCAAAGTCAACGCTCAGTCCAAGTCAAAGTCAACATTTGAGTTGACTAAACTCGTCGAGTCAATCCCTTGACTCGCCGAGTTCCTTTGCCAATCTTAGTCGTGAAAACACAAACTAACTCGTCGAGTTCTTTCACGGACTCGTCGAGTTCCACCTTGTACACAATCGGGACAACCCTACCCAACTCGTCGAGTCCCCCCTTGGAGTCGCCGAGTCCCCTTGTCTGGTTGAGCTATCTTAACGGATTAAGCCCCAACACTTCAGATCCAAGCTTTATACTTCACATAAACCCTGAAAATGTCCTTTTAAGGGTAAAGTTTCCAACTTTACCCGTTAATACCTTTTCTTAAAGGGTTTAGCTCAAACCCTAATTCCTTGGGACCTAGAACTTGGTCCTCAAGCCATCCACACACCAAACTAAAGCTTACAACCACAGATCTAAACCCCTAACACTACTTGGACATGTAAAGTTCCCTCCTTTCTCTACATTCATGGCCTTTTGGGGCTAAAAAGGCCAATATGACACTCTATGGCTTGCATGGGGTCTCCACTGGCATAAGGTTTGCACCTTTATGTCATATCAGCCTTTCAAGGTCCTAGATCTGGAAGAATACCCACTTGGGTCGATCATTCTCCAAAATCTATCATGATTGGACCCAAAAACCCTCATAAAATAGACATAATGAGATCTAATGAACTAATAGCCAAGATAGAAACTTGATTACCAGAAAATGTAGCAAATGGTGTGTAGTTTCTGGATCTACTCTTTCCCTCTTGAGCCCTTCTTCTTCTTCTTCCACAAGCTTCAAAAGTACACAAAGATCACTCCAAATGGCTCACACTCTCAAATAAGCTCTAGGGTTCGTGGATTAGGGTTTGGGACATGGAGGCTGGAAATGAGGCCAAGGGTGGGGGTTAAGGAGCTTACATAGGGTGCGAAACCCCGAAATTAGGGTTTCCTTCAAGCAGACCTACTCGCCGAGTCGAGGGCTCGCGACTCGTCGAGTAGATAGCTTAAAACCCACACATGTTCTGCCCTCTACTCGAGGAGTTAAGTCCACCAACTCGTCGAGTTGTCCTTTCAAAATGAATAAATTAATGAGTTAAGAGCATACCAGGAACCAGGCGTTACAAAATGTTGTATTTTGTTTGATGTATTATGACTAAATCGTGTACTCTCAATGAAAGTTTAATGTTTTCATTTCTTTGAAACCTTTATTAATGTGTCAACAAGGGGTAACATCGTCAACTAGGGGTGAATTGGACGAAATTGACCAAGCTAACCAGAAGTATATAACCAATTTTAATAAACTGATAGTAGTCAATATCATTACCAATTTCCCTAATACCTTTTGCTAAGCTTTTGTTTCTAGTGCAATAATACACATTATCATGACTCCCGTTACTCAACTTTTGAAGGAACAATACAAATCTTTAAGATCCATTCCACCAAAGTCGACATCACGGATTGAAACCATAACAGGGTTCAAGTACACTAATGGTTTTGGTGCGAAAAAACCTTGACAACAATCATCTACTGTTATGTACTTGTACATGAATCTGAGGCCATCTTGTTCACATGTTACAATCGACTTCAACTAGTGTCTTCAATTTCGGAACCCTAATCTTCGATCGACATTACGGGGTGTAGAAAAGGGGTTGAGTTGTTCGTAATCTTAAATCGTGAACCTTACATTAAAGAGAAAGAGGTGAAGTTTTTTTTAAGGTCACATAATAAGACATGTCAACATAACTAATCGATGTCATTGAAGAAAACCGACAAAACATGTTATAGTCGATTAAAGGGTATATTGTGAACATAAACAATAATGTAGATGATATATGATGTACAAAAAAATATACCTAATATAAATAAAATTAATAGTTAGTTATCCACTTGAGTCATTTTTCTTATTATAAATGTTCGAGAATGAAATTAAAACTTTCGAGTTTGTTTTGAAAAAAATGAAATATTATTATATTTTTTCTTTCTACCAATCCTTTACGGTGACAAATGTAATAAAAATTTATTAGTTTTATTAAATACCAAAATATTACAACACTAAATATGTAGAAAAATAACAAGGTTCTAAATAATATGAGGTGTGGCTTGGTGGCAAGGTCAAAGTTAAGCCATGACAAGCTTTGGCGAGTCTTGGCGTTTTTCAAAGCATAACTATTTTATATATATTAAAAGAGATAAATCATATAATTATTGAATTTTGTTAAACATATCAAGTTTTTAGAAGTGTTATATTAATATTTAATATAAAAGTTAACAAAACTCAATTATTAGGTCCGATAAAAAAAAAAAAAACTCACGCCATAACGCGATAAGGCGCGCCTTAATATGTTATTTGGACGTCACGCTTAACAAACCCGCATTGAACGTTTTCGTAAAAACTACACCACGGCTCGCATCATGACACGCCTTGAATCAGATCAGCACACGCTTTTTAGAACCATGAAAAATAATAATAATAAATAGTTTTCTAATAAATTTTTTTTTCTTCTATGTGAACCGAAAGTAATGTACAAACAAAAAGGAGTAAAAAGTAAGAAAAACATGACCAATTGAATGAAGCGTGTCACCCCCGTTGACTACATCATACGTTCGTCAAAGTCAACATTACGTTTTCCCTCCCTTTTAGGGATTTTCTTGTCCCATCGTCATCACCATTCACCACCTTCATTTCTACTCCCAACGCTTACCCACACATCTACCTGTAATCCACTAATCCCCTTAAATATCTTCAAGATTCATCTTCTTCGATCCCTGGGTTTCTTTTCGCTTTTTGTTTCAAGGTTTCATTTCCCCTAAATTTCAAAACTTTTCACCAATTTTCACATTCAATGATGAAATGTTTGAGCATATTTCATTCAAAATCTTCACCGGAGCCAAAAGAAGAAAATCCTCCAAGTAAGCCAAAATCAGAAACAAGATCAGTCAAGTCAACAGGCTCAATCTCTTCCCCAAGGAACATACCAGAAATCTACAAAGAAAAAGAGCACACCTTGACGAAATTTTCATTTTCAGATCTTAGGAATGCTACCAGTAATTTCAACAAGCTTTTAAAGATCGGAGAAGGTGGGTTTGGGTGTGTTTACAAAGCAAGAATCAGACTTTCTGAAACTCAAAAGGATCCTCTTGTGGTTGCCATTAAACGGCTTAACAAACAGGGCATGCAGGTAAATCTTAGAAATTTTTTGAACTGGGTTTTGTATTTTGCGACTATGTTTCCGAAAAGTTCAATTCTTTAAGAGATTTGTGGCGAATTTTGTGATAGGGTCATAAAGAATGGCAAACAGAAGTTCAGTTTCTTGGCGTGGTCGATCACCCCAACCTTGTAAAACTTCTGGGATATTGCTCTGTTGATGGTGATCGGATGCAAAGATTACTGGTTTACGAATACATGCCAAACAAAAGCTTAGCAGTTCATCTTTTTAGCCAAACTCTGCCACCACTTCCATGGAAAACGAGGCTTCAAATCTGCCTTGGTGCAGCCGAGGGTTTGGCTTATTTGCACAAAGGGCTGGAAATTCAGGTATCATTCACTAGTCAGCCACATACTACTGGCTACTGCCTCATTAGGTTTTTTGCTGGATCATATCTCCTATCAGTTTCAAAATTGAAAAAGTTTCATTTTCAAAGGTTTTTGATCGCTATTTGTTGACATATTGTTTCTAATTATCGATTTTGGAAGGTGATATTTCGTGATTTCAAGACTTCGAACGTGTTATTGGATGAAAAATTCAACCCGAAGCTTTCTGATTTCGGTCTTGCTAGAGAAGGTCCTCAAGGAGACCGAAGTCATGTATCTACAATGGTAAGTCTTTTTTATATGTGCTACTACAATAAAACGGATTATTTGGGTGCTTTCTGATTTGTCTAACAACTGGTAGTGTTACTATTGATATCAGCCTGTTGGGACGTATGGATACGCTGCCCCAGAATACGTCGAAACGGGACATCTGAAAGCGAAAAGTGATGTATGGAGTTTTGGAGTTGTACTGTTTGAGATCCTATCGGGCAGACAGGCAGTGGATAGAAACCGACCGAAAGGCGAACAAAAGCTTATTGAATGGGTCAAACTATTCCCTGCTGATAGCAAGAACTTTCGGATGATTATGGACAAAAGATTAAACAATAAATATTGTGTGGATGATGCTAGAAGCATTGCAAAATTAGCTGTTAGGTGCTTGTATAAGAACCCTGATGACCGACCTACAATGAGCCAAGTGGTCAAGGGGTTGAGAGACGTGATCAGTGACTCCCAAATTGGACTTGTATATGACAAATAGAGTCATGTTTTTGAGTCATTTGTAAAGGTTCATGTATCTATGAGTATATTGTTTTTCTAATAAAAAGTTTCTAATGTACCCACTTGGAGCATATGCATTAAAGCTTGTACCACATGCATTTATGGTTGTACAATGCACATCAACACTTTATCTTTTTGGTCAAGAGTGGCATCCTAGTCCAGCAGCCTGATTGATCTCATTTCTTAAAAGTTTCTAATTGATTCGATAATTGCAATCTTGAAAATATGTATTTCTAACAAGTGGGACGGATAAATTGAAAATAATTTAATAAATTAAATATTTAAGAAATTATAAAAGGACATCAAATGTGTGGACGAGCGATGCCATTCATTTTGATCCACTTATCCAATCTAATCAGTTTTGCCAACTATACTAATCTGTTAGCAAGTGATGTCGATTATCCACCGACCTCTTGATATCAAATACCATCATGGTATGTGAAAATTGTGTTGAAAAACATGAATTTCTTTAGATAGAAAATATGATTTTACTAACTTTGGACACGTGCAATTCGGAATACTTGATATCCATTTCAGTAATAACCAGCCGAGTTTAGTTCTCTTTAAATAGAGCAATGAAATTATATATTACACGTACGTCTAAATTGGAGTTACTACGATACCGACTCAAAGTAACGTTATTGGAATGGAAAAATGGAATACTATCAAGCTGCCTTGCTCCATGTTGAGCCGGTGTCCGCGCTACCTTGGGGCTTGGGGCTGTCTCATGGCCGCGTGGACTGACTCTGGCTATCCGGCAGTGTGAACTGCCTCTCGTAAGGCTGCCTTAGCTACTCCAGCTACCCCATAATCAGTGTACAAAATTTCGGTTATGATTACACTTTTAAGGCTTGTTAATTCATTTAGTTGCTTATTTTTCACATAAATAACAAATACTATAGTTTCAAGTTAAAAACCACAACTATAATGAGCAGTTAATTTCCAATTAATAGTGATGCTCGCAACCATTGAGAGCTTGTCTCATTTAAAGATAGACAACTCATGTGAACCTTATATTTTTCTAAGTTAGGGCTTAGGGCCCATATTCTCCAAACTTAAACCAACATTAATATATCTCAAATCTCAATTAATCCATTACTAATTTTCTTATAAGTCACGTCATAGTGAACGATATTGATTCTTGAAGATGAAAATTAACTCTGCCATTTATAAACATTTTAGTTTATTATTGTCAGTCCTAAACCCGAATAAAAAAAAGTTTATAACGTTAAGTATAATAAAAGCCAAAGGGCTCCAAATTTTTGGTTCGCTTAGAGCCCACAAACTGTTAAGCCACGCCGGAGACAACTTGAAATACATGACATATCCACGAGCATTGCAGTGCGCATGAATTGAATTACATCGTTAAATATTGAAGATTATTTTATTATTTTTTTTTTGTATTTGGGTTACATTATAAATATATACAAAATGTAAGTTTTCCTTTGTTAGACAAATTTACTCTAGCTAATAGTACCATTTACACTGCACTCTCTTTTCATTTCTCCTCTTACTTCTTCTTCTGTTCCCTGCTCTCTCTCTCTCTCTCTCTCTCTCTCTCTCTCTCTCTCTCTCCCGTCGTTCATAGTGCAACCCCCAACGCCGCTTCTTCCGCTTACTCATTCACATCCGACTCCTACATCTTATCCGGTAACTTCTCATACAGTCCTTACCCTCTCTCTACCTCTTACATTATTCCAAAACCCTAGATTTCATCTTCCATGGCCGTCGTCTGCACTCTGCACCATAATCCGCCCATATTTCTATCGACGAACACCCGCCACGACCACACTCAACCGCCTCCATCAAGAAAGCTCTCTAGTATCGTTTCCGCTACCACTCATCGCATCCCCTGCCACACCCTTCCATTTCTCTTTCCATCAAACCGTTGCATCGCACCACTTATCTCCCATTGCTGCTAGAATGAAATGAACCCTGCCTACCACAACCGTCGGCCACCACTAACGTCCACCATCGCATCATTAATAAGCACTCCAGAACCTCACGCTTCTATTTAAAGCGGCGGAAGAACATGTTAGAATTTATTTCTCCCGTGTTTTATATTCATATGTGGTTGTACCGAGCATAAGTAAAAGCCTACAATTTTATGGTTTATATATTCCATAAAACAAAAAAATATGAAATATTTATTCAATTCTTTGGAGAGTATATATACAAGATTCTTATTTTAGGTTAATAGAATTATGATTTATTTTATAGAGAGAACAATAATAACAATAGATGATCCCCGTATTAGAGCATCCACAATGGTGAATTCAGTGGGAGAGTTCAATGAGGTGGCAAATCTATGTGTCATTCAATTGATGAAACTCCACTATTGTGAGATGCCACATTGACATTCAATGGATTTGGAGTTCAATGGACATTGAACTCTTCATTGGGAAAAAGGAAAGTTTTTAATTCTTAATTATTTACTATAAATTACATTTTGTAACATTTTATTGAACCTTATAGAGTTCAATGCATTGTAGGAAAAAAAATGATAGAGTTGTATGGATTGTAGAAAGATGATGTGAAAATCCATTGAACTCTGTGGAGTTCAATGCATTGTGGATGCCCTTATGTAGTATGAGAACTGTTACTCTATTACCATCAGGGCTTTGGCCACTTTCTGCAATATATACATGCTCAGGTTTTTATATTCCTAAATGTAACTCTTTTACATGTTGATCATATTGAATGACAATTTTACAAGAATGTTTTCAGGTAACTTGTCTGATGGATTCGAATGTTTGATCTGAGTTTTTGGATCTGAAGTTTGAATCCGGATTGTTCTTCTATCACCTATAACATTGAATTTGTTTTTATGTTTGGGCATTTTATTATAATATTATCCTCCCTGTAGGTTTAATGGTTCTTCTCCGAAAGGGTTACTGACCAAGTGTACAAATACTTTCTTAATACTTTGGATAAGTATAAAATAGAAAACAAATGCATCAAGTAAGTTCACCAAGAGGTTTGACATTACGACTTTTAGGTTCTTCGTTTGTAGCTTTTATTGTGTTAATTTAATTTTATATACCCAATGATATACTATGCTATGGTTTATTTGGGTTTTTTTTTTCTGGTTTTTTGATTGGAGATGGTGTTGCCACCTTCTTACCCTTACAGGTTTCAGGTTTGTACTTCTTGGAGCTATTTTATATAGAAAGCCTTCAATAGAGGTTGTTGATAAATCAAATTACCATATTGTATCATATATCTTATCAAGGCTCACTCGCTAAGGTTATAAATATATACCTTTTCTTATATGTCTTTGAATCTTACTTTTTTATCATGTTTATTAACATTTTTTCGTCAACTATTATGTAAGAAACTAGGTGTCGAAACCAAATTATTTAGCAAAAGGAACTATTTTTCATGCATAGAATTGTATGGTAACATAAGAATGAACATTATAGTCATAAAAACGGTTTGAATTCTATCAACTAAGTACTTTCCTAATGCGCAAAAAAATCACGTAAAAACCCACGGCAAAGTGCGGGCTCAATTACTAGTTGTTATAGTTTGGTAGATTTTTCAAAGCATAATGCTATAATAGGAAGAAATGAAAGTAGGATGCTATAATAAACATATAATCGGAAGTGTGTTGCTATTTCTTATATTTAACCCTAAATTATTTAAATAGTTTAGACCTTATGTATAGTTTGATTGATAGTTGCTGATTGAGTTAGATCTGACTGAGCCAGAAGCTACTCTAAATTAAACTTGGCTATTTGATTTTGTTTTAAAACTGATTGTGCTGAATGATAAAAATAACCATCTTACCCTTTTATTTAATACTTCATCTGTGATGGTTGAGACTCATGCTCCTTGAACCAATAATCTTTCCCCAACACATATCAATTTATAAGTTTTTTTTTCTTATTAATTGTTGTCACAATAAAATATTTGTCTAAAAAAATATTAAACGATTACAATACCCTTTTAAACCTAGATTTTCACAAGGAAACAATTATCACTTCTCACCCTCTCCATTTGCTATACTTCTTCTCACTCACGAATTCCATTCTATCTTGAATTTAAGCTCAATATCCATCTTCAAGCTTGTATCTAATGATAATATGCACTTCACAAGCAATGAATCTCTTCACAATGGATCATATCTTATAGATTACAAAACGAACTTAACAAAATATTTTAAGTAATGGAATTTGCTGGACGACCCAAAATCAACATTTCTCTGATCATGTACATTGCAACCGGTCAAAGCTGTTAAAGAAAACCAGCAACAATATGATATCATCCCCATCCTTAATCTAAAGGAACCATAACTTGATACAAAATCCGCAACCCAATTTTAACCATAATCTATCATAAAAGCTCTTAATAACCACCACACAATCATTAGCAGACAAATATCGCAATTAATCCAAGTCCTTCGTGTACTCGCTCTAAAGATCATTATCACATCCTCATAAACACACCCACTTACATCAGACGTCGTAAGGCTGCAAATAACAATAAGCTCCTTACCATACATAAGATTATGACAATAAGGAATCCTAGGGGCAATATCGTCCAATTCACCCAAAAACCTACATACATAGCAAGTCCCTGCAAGAAACTTGACACGGGACGACCCACAAAATAAAATTACTGATTAATAAAAAAAATTCAAAGGAATATTCAAGTAAAAACATGGAATTGATTGATCGAAGCAAAATCAAGCTTGAAACCCTCAATTGTTAACTTCTATTGCTTAAAAAAATCAAAGATGAAATCAGGAAGAATAGAAGATGTACTTGTTGCTGCTTATTAAGGGAAAAGGGAAGATGGTGGCACCGTTTTTTGGTCAGTCATAGCACACACATGGACGACGACGACGGTCAGAGCAGCGTAGATGAAGGTGTTGGGCAAAAAACGGACGTGTGGGAAGGAGGAGGAGAAGGGCAGATCCGGGTAAATGAAGTTGTAGTCTCAACATCGTTAGTTTTTTACCAGACGGAGTCAGACCAATTTTGTGAACTGAGACCGGCTCAGATGCCCAATCTATACAAATCAAA